AAAATATATATATATATATATATATATATATATATATATATATATATATATTTATTTGTTAATTTGATTGTATCGTTTTTATTTTACTCTCTTTTATTGGTAGTAAATGCATCGTAATGCTGTGCATTTGCATAAAGAAAAAAAGAAGGAAAAAGCCACCTTTAATAAAAAAAATATTTATGACTCTAAAGAACTTCAAAGAATATCATATGGTATCACCATGGAGCCACATCCAAAAATCCATGCTCCGGTGATGATCATTCATTCAGTTTTGTTGCATCTCTCCTTCTTGGTCAAGACAGTGATTAATGTACATTCACACAGCAATTTAATCACTATAATGTGGATTGACATGTAAGCATAACTACCTGCTCTCATTGGAAATTGCTGCATTGTAATACTACTCATATGCATAAAGTACAATTAAAAAGTACAAAAAGGCCACCAAAAATAAAGTTTTTCAATTCTGTATATACACACATACATACAGGTATATATATATTTTTTTCTTTTCTTTTTTTTTCTTTAAAGAGATAAAATCTTTAAAAGAAAAAATATCACAATGTTTTTGAGTGAACTATCCCTTTAATGCACGCCTCTCTCTTTCAATTTCTCTCTCTCGCGCGCTCTGTGTGTGTGTGTGTGTGTGTGTGTGTGTGTGTGTGTTGAATACAGTGTGAGGCTTTGCCCACAGTTGATGGGTTGAGGGTAAGTGCCACCCGGGGCCAGCATGGCACAGTGCCACACACCTCTCTTGTACGTTGTCAACGGCCTGTCAGATGCTTCGAAAAACTTCCACCTGTGCTTTTCAACACGCTTCTCGCAAGAGGCTTTCATTGAGATTCATTCAATGGCACATTCATTGAAAAACAGGATAAAAACAAAACCTATCATCTTGACGAATAACAATGTAGGTTTAAAAACAAATGTAATAGAAACCCCTGTTAAATGTGTTGCTGTTTAGCTGTAGTTTTCTTCATGCAGCTAAACCCTGACATCTTCATTCGTGGCGCTTCAGGGAACACAGGGGTGGGAATGAAGAGCATATCCACTGCCTTTCAAGTGGGCAAGAAAAGCACCACAGTGGCTTGGCTTTCACTTGTTTTTCTGGCAAGGACGACCGTGCATTTTCTAGAACATTGACAGAAAACCGCAAACTGTTTGGCTGTATGCCTGCTTTCAGTGTGAGTAGATCAGCAAAGTTCAATTTTACTACAAGGGTCTCCTGAGATCCAGAAGATAAGAGTTTTTTAAACCCTAATTTCCATTTTTCTTTTTCTTTTGAGTCTTTGGCTGTTATAACGTCGTGTACTTGAAGTGTTTTGGACTCATTGCCTATTATGAATCATATTTCCCACCAAATTTGTTATACTTGTGACTCAAAGTCCATGTTTATAGTAGTGTCATAATGTGCTCTGTCAGACATATGTCTAAAAATACGCCAGCCATATGTTATACCAGTGCTATTTTCAAAGCTATTGAGGAACGTGCTATTTCACAAACAAATAAAAATTTATTGTTTTACAATTTTTGGACAGATCTGATGAGGCCGACATCACGGGCAATGCAGCTGTTGGACTTAATAAATCACCTTAGTGTTGCTAACAATAAAATCTTGTCTTGTTGCTATGTGAAGCTTTGCTTATGTGCGTTTCTAAGCTTCGAATGCTCGACAGGGGACTGTAGAGGCCACTTCCCGGCGCCAGAGCTTTTATTCTGACCTGAGGGTCGTCCTGTCACTTTGGCAAGATTTTTGCAGTTTGGTGTGAAATGTGATCAAAGATGAAATTTCTGGAGGTTAGTCTATGTATAATGGCTTATTAGGAAAGTACACAGTACTGTTCATAAATTTGGGGTCAGTATTTATTTTTTATTTTTTTATTAACACTTTTATTCAGCAAGGATGCATTTAATTGATCAAACGTGACAGAAAACTTTTGTAACATTATAAATGTTTAACTATTTCAAATAAATGCTGTTCTTTTGAACT